GGAAGTCGACTGACTGTCACACTGAGAGACCTCAAAGCCCGTCCCCACAGTGACACACTTCCTCCAACAAGGCCATGCCTCCTAATAGTGCCACTCCCCTTTGGGAGCCATTTTTTGCAAACCACCACCACATGAGTTGGATATGATGTTGCATGTGTTTAGTTTGAGCACTTTGGAGGGAGAAGCAGGTGGATTTCTGTGATTTGGAGGCCTACATAGTTCCAGGTCAACCAGGGCTACATGAACCTTGTCTCAAAATAATAATAGTAGTAGTAGTAAAGTAAAGATGCCTGCTGCTAAGCCTGAATTTGATGCCCAGGACCCACATGGTCGAAGAAGAGTGTTGTGGGGAATTCACCAGATGGCTCAGACAGGGATTTAAACCAATAGAAAGTCTTTATTAGCCAGCCGGTTACTACATTGGATGTTTAGGATCCCAGTGGTAGCACTGAGTTTTTAAGAACAAAAACCATGTCCTGGGTTGACATGTTTCAGTTAACAAGAACAGTTAGCCAGAAGCAGAACTACAGAAGCCAAAAAGCAAGGTTAGCACATTTAGAGACGTCCCCAGAACTGTTGTTTTTGACGGATTAGGCCTTTGTTTCATTTTTCCCTGGTGGTGCTGTCTGTGTGCTGCTTTTACAGCCTGAATGGCGCTTCCCCCATGGGATCAGTTATGCTCTAATCTGGAGCATACTAAGGTCTGGGGCCCTGCTACAGATATAATCAGCTCCTCTAAGTTGTCCTCTGACCTCCATAAGCACAACGTGCATACATGCACCAATGCACATACACAAAATGAAAGTGTAATTTTTTAAAAATAAGATTTAGTTTTTTCAGTTATGTGTTGTTGGGACTGGAGAGATGACTTAGCATTTAAGATCACTTACTGATCTTCCAAAGGACTCAAGTTCAGTACCCAGCATTCATGTCAAGTGACTCATGACTGTAACTCCAGCTCCAGGGATCGAAAGCTTCTTCTGACCTCCAAGGGTACCTACACTCGTGCACATACACATAATATAAAATAAAAATTTTAAAACATTCATTATTGATGGCTGAACGGCACATGCTTGTAATCCCTACACTTGGGAGTCTGAGGCAAGAGAAATCTGAGGTTAGCTTAGCCTAGGCAAGATCTTGTCTCCTTTTTTATTTATTTATTATTATTATTTTTTTGTTTGTTTGTTTGTTTGTTTTTTGATATAGGGTTTCTCTGTAGCTTTGGAGCCTGTCCTGGAACTAGCTCTTATAGACCAGGTTGGCCTCGAACTCACAAAGCTCCACCTGCCTCTGCCTCCCAAGTGCTGGGATTAAAGGCGTGCACCACCACCATCTGGATAAGACCTTGTCTCAATAAACAAGTAGAACAGGGTGGAACGGTGCACACCTTTAATCCCTTGGGAGGTAGAGGTAGTCAGATTTCGGCTACAAAGCGAGTTTCAGAACAGTCAGAACTGTACATAGAAATCCTGTCTCTAAAAGCATATATATATTCTTTTAAATATGCAGGTATCGGAGCCCAGCCCAGCCCCAACTGCACAGAATAGCTCCAAAGCACCCTACCTAACTCATTCAACATGCTGGGGGTTCTTTGTATTGGCAGAGCGTAAGCGGCGGGCGAATCCTAGGGGGCGGGACGGAGTGCCTGCTGCCGCCCTCTCTCCAGCTAGACCGGCTCGCTTCCGGAAGACGCTCTGTCCGGCGGGGAGCCGCTCTCGCCGGCTCCCTTCCGCTTCCGGTGTCCTACAGCCATGGCCGCCGCCGTCGCTGCAGCTGGCGCCGGGGAGCCTCTGTCCCCAGACGAATTGCTCCCGAAAGCCGAGGCGGAGAAGGCAGAGGAGGAGTTGGAAGAAGACGACGACGACGAGGTGCCTGGGTCTGCGGGGAGCGGGGCGGGAGCGGGCCGTCGGAGCGTGGGCACTGCGAGCCGGGAGGGCGGCTGATCCGCGCGGCAGGGAAGGGCCAGGCCCAGGGCTCGGCGACTCCGGTGCTGTTGCCGCTTCGCCAACGATCCTCACCTCCTCCACCACAGCTAGATGAGACCCTGTCGGAGAGACTCTGGGGTCTGACGGAAATGTTTCCGGAAAGGGTCCGGTCCGCCGCCGGAGCCACCTTTGATCTCTCGCTCTTCGTGGCTCAGAAGATGTACAGGTAAGGGACGAATGTAGAGGCACCGAGAGTGTTCATGGAGGGACTGGTGCTGTCAGAGGATACCGGGCCTCGGAAGCCACAGCCGGGAGCTTGAGTGACCTTGGAATCATTGCCACACTCCGAGTGTGGTTCGTCTTCTGCAGAGTGGAGTTCTTATCTGGCAGGACCGTTGTGGGAATTCTTTCATGTTAACTAAGGGTTCTATATGCAAGACTTATAAGAACGTTACAGTAATCACTAAGTAACCACTGCTCCCTTGGCTCTGCTAGGAGTTCGGTGGAGGGAATGGGTAGGGACACTTTGAGAAACATCGGGGGAGGTAAGTCACCACACACACCCTCCCTCTGCAGATTTTCCAGGGCAGCTTTGTGGATTGGGACCACCTCCTTTATGATCCTGGTTCTTCCTGTTGTCTTTGAGACAGAAAAGTTGCAAATGGAGCAACAGCAGCAGCTGCAGCAGCGGCAGGTGAGCACACGCTCTGGGCTCCAGGCCAGCAGTGCAGGCCTGAGGTCTGAATTGTTTAACTACTGAAACTATACAGTGTCTTAACACACTTTTCTCTTTTCCAGATACTTTTGGGGCCTAACACGGGGCTGTCAGGAGGTATGCCAGGGGCTCTACCTCCACTTCCTGGAAAGATCTAGATTGTTACTTCAATTTGTCCTGGTGAGAGGACTTTGAAATTGAGTTGTGTTTGAACTGCTGATTGTTTGGACTTTTTTTTTTTTTTTTTTAAACTTTGGCGCATCAGTCTATTTAAATCTGGTGGGAACTCTCTCCATTTCTCAAGGAGAGACTCCGGTTGCACCTGTGCCCTTCATAATGCTCTCTCTTATTTCCTGGTCTCAGTTGATGTTAGAGTACAGCCATGTGGAAGGTTATTCCGCGTTATCCCTTTAGTAAACTTCTCCTATCGAAGTTCTCACGTGCCCCTTGTGGGGAAGAAGTAAGCACCCCTGACCATTAAAGACTTTTTCTTTAGAAGAATGGGAATGTCTGGGCCATGTACGCAATGTGAAACTGACAAAATCCATTATAGCTGCCATTACAAAACGGTCAGCAGGAATCCCTGTATGGTGGAGAAAAGGGAGGCTGGCTGCAGCTTTAGCCAGATGGGGACTGTGGACAGAGCAGGCGCTCATCCCTCTGCATATTTGGACCTGTGTGCTGTGTAAAAAAGAAGTCAGTGCTCACTTTTTGTATTTAAATATTAAAAGAACTCCAACTGAAAGTGTTATTGCTGTGTTTGTGATACATATTTTAAACTGAGGCCATTTTAGAACGCCAAGGACAGCAGGCAGTAGTGGCACATGCCTTTAATTCCAGCACTCTGGAAGGCAGAGGCAGGCGGATCTCTGTGAGTTTGAGGCCAGCCTGATCTACAAAATGAGTTCCAGGACAGCTAGGACTGTTTGACAGAGAAACTCTTCCCCCCCCCCCAAAGAAAGCAAGACAGGGACACTGCTTGCCAAATTTCTTCTTGCTTAAGCTAGCACCTCTATTCCAACCTCGTTTCATACATCTAAGTGAAGTTTTCAAAAAGGAACATTTCTTTTTGAACATGGTGTTGATTATTGCCCTGAATCACTTCAGTCTCCCCTACAGAAAGTTGAAGGGCATGCTCTGTGGGTGTGCAGTCTACACAGTACTTATAAACTATTTAAAGTATGTATTGCCTTCTGGTTTTGAGAGGGGATAGAGCTTGTTGCCTAACTCTTTTCTTGGGGATTGAATCTCTCCATAACCCAAGCTAGCCTTCATCTGAGTGCTGAGAGATTATAGGCATACACACCTGGTAAGGCGATTTTTTTGTTGTTGTTGTTTTTCAAGACAGGATTTCCTGGCTGTCCTGGAACTCACTCTGTAGACCAGGCTGGCCCTGAACTCGCAGAGAAACAGAGATCTGCCTGCCTCTGCTTCTTGGAGTGACTAAAGGCCCGGGCCACCACCACCCAGCTTCCTTTTTTGTTTTTTTTTTTTTGTTTTTTTAAGTGAGCCTCTGGTAATGGATCCTACTATTGTCCTATCTTTGAACCTTGAAGTTTTCCCACTCAATGTTGGTCTTTTGTTTTTCTCTTGAAACATGGTCTATATGGATCAAATGTGTGCAACACCACACCCAGCGTGATAATTTATTGTGCAGGTTTTCTGATCCTATTTTGTAATCAATTCCCAGTAGCATTGTATGATTGGGGAGGGTGTACTATTCCCATGGGTTAAGGAACCTGTAGAAGGCCTGTCACTACAGGATCTGGATTCAAAGCCAGCTTTCTACCTAGACCACTGTTGTGTGCTTTCAAGGCCAATAGCTCTGCTGTGTCTGGCTTTTCATTGATAATTAGAATAACACTAATAGACAGTCAAAAGGTACAAACTCCAACAGAAGTCTTATTTAAAAATTAAAATAAAATGCAGATGCCTCAATGACATTTTTTGTTTGTTCTATTTTAAACTTAATTTTATGTGAATTGGTGTGAAGGTGTCAGATCCCCTGGAACTGGGGTTACAAACAGTTGTACATGGCCATGTGGGTGCTGGGAATTGAACCCGGGTCCTCTGGAGGAACAGGCAAGTGTCCTCAACCTCCGAGCCAGCCCTTGTTTGTTTTTTGAGGCAGGCTATGGCTAGCTGGATTCCATACTGACCTCAAACACATGATGTTGCTTCAGCGTCCCCTCTAGTAGGACAACGGTGGTTGGGCACCTCTGAACTAAATCCCACTAAGGAAATACTTTGTCTTGGTTTCTCAGGTGGGAAATTTGACAGTGTATCTCAGAGTGGTAACAAATGCCTTTACGTCAGAATCATACCAAAGGTTTTTACATAGTTAGGCAACAAATAGATTGTGTTCAGTTTTTCATTTTTAATATTTGGTTAAACAAAATACATCTTTGTAAACAAACCCAGCACAAGGCCAACAAAAAAAAGGGAGTAAAGCAAGAAGAACAAAGCCTAGGGCTGCCCCTTGCTGGGCATCAGGGTCAGGCTCCCCTTCCTTAAAAGGAATGGGGCTTTTTGCCCTTGGGCATCAACATGGGTCCCTGTTCCTAAGCACCAGATTGGATATGAACAGAACCAGCCCTGAAATGCTTAAGCGTCTTTGTACATTCCACTGGCTCATGGATTCCGCGTGCATGGGACTCCTTTCCAGTGCTGTTTGCACAGGCCCAAGCAGATCTGTAGGGAGGAGTCTCCTCTTCCCAAGAAATGGCTTACTACCACCGACAGTGCCAATGGACCCAAGGTCCTGCTTGTGCCGATCAGCAAGGTCGGCTGTAACTTCTGGCTGGTAGTGATTGGAATGTCATTGTGCAGGGTCAGAGCTCCCCATGGTGCCAAGCAGATCCGGTGTAGAAAATGGTACAGATGACCGTGGTTGAGTTGCAGTAGCCACTTGGGGCCATCTGCTACTCGAATAAAAAACGGCCTTGTTGAAGATACATGTGCAGAAAAGTGCTGGTGTAAACATGCACTCCAGTCAGTGGGGAGACAGCCCCCGCTTCACCCCAGTAAGCTTGCTCAGGATCGACATGCAAGCCCCTAGGCTAGCTCTGTTACCAAGGGAGAAGCCTGGCCAGTGGGACAGCTCTCAGACCTGCAGAGACCAGGACTCCCCTAAGGACTGGCCAGGTCACCTGCCTTAAAGGCCACCACAACCACACTGGTGTGTGGCATGGTAATTACTTATTTTCTAAAATTACAGGAGAAAAAATGGTCTAGAACTACTTGAGGTGGGGGGTGAGCCAACCCTCAGTTTGTAATGGAAACTACACAAAGATGCCAAACTCAGAGCCTCCAGTGTCCTGCACATAACCTGCGACTCTGGCCACAGCTCTGGAGCCCAGGATGTGCCTGCCAGTTCTCACCCTCAGACTGTGGGGCTCATTTTCATGGCAGTTTCCTCACCCAACTCCGTCCCTATGAAATTTGGTGTCAGTGGCAGATGTGTTTCTGATTTTGTTAAAATGAGCCAACTAGGAGTACTGTCCCTCTTCATTTTTTTTTTTTTTTTTTTTTTTTTGCTCCAGAGCCTCCTATGTCAATATAGTGAAATGTTGGGACATAACCCATGACTGTCCTAATGTGGCTTCAGCCACACAATATTAGGCCTCTCTCACCATTGTCTTGCTGGAATACTGTGCAATTTACCCACTTTGGAATATCAGAACTTCTCATTATAAAACTCCAAGGCTGGCTAGGATTAAAAATGGGGTAAGAAGTGGCATTATGGATTGCAGACGGCATATAGTGCCACTGCTGGGGGCCTGACAGTTTCCTGAGACGCTTATGCTTGGGTCCTTTGAACTAGTCACTGGGCTCTGCATGTACTGTGTCCTTGGACCCCCTGGTGCCACAGGAGAGAAAAAGAGGAAGTGTGTGTTCCCTGTGAGCCTGGAGCATCAGTGACAACTACCAGCAGAACTTGTATCAAGTCCTCATAGAAAGGGGGAAGTAAGCAAGTCCCCCACCCCTCTTGCCTCCCTTCTCTAAAATAGAAAAGGTGTTAAATGGCTTGCCCTAAATGTTCAGAGCTCCTACCTTCTTCCCCCAGGCACAGACAGTGCTTGGTGGCTGTGACAGTCCACACACCTGTCCTATTGCACTGTCAAATTTGAGGGGGAAACTCAATGAGATGTTTAGGGAAGTGGCTGGACAGACCCACTGTAGAGGCCACAGAACATCAAAGAGGGCTGGAGGTTGAGGCGAAGAGCGGGTCCAGCATAACCGTCACACATCTGCCCTCCAGCTTTGATGGACTTCCACTTCTTCTGGTACCACCAGTAGGAGTTCACAGTTTTTTCCTCGCAAATGGTATTTTAGAAATTTCCTATGGAAGAGGGAATAGGCAACAAGAAACGAGATGCCAGTGAGTTGCAGATTGCAATCCTGGGGCCACCCATTCACTAGGATAGAGACCTCCCCACTTAACACCCATACCAATCTGTTCTGTTTGTGGCAAAAAATCTGTTTCTCTCTATAGCTCTGGCTGTCCTAGAACTTGCTTTGTAGACCAAGTGGCCTCAAACTCAAGTCCACCTGCCCTCTGCCTCCTGAGTGCTAGGATTAAAGGTGTGCGCCACTACAACCACCACCACCTAGGCTATCCCTGTGGCAATCTTAAAACTCTAAGGGTGACTTAGATGTTCCATGTTTGGTTACCCCTCCATTTCCGTTAGAACTCCAGTCTCGGGGCTGGAGAGATGGCTCAGTGGTTAAGAGCACTGACTGCTCTTCGGTTCAATTCCCAGCACCCTCACACAGATATACATACAGGCTAAAACACCAATAAAATAATTTAGAAAAAAAAGAACTTCAGTCTCAATTTCTGCTCATTCTTGGAGATTAATATCATTAGTGTGCTGGTGTGAGTTCTAGAATTAGTATATTCTAATGGTTACTAAGTGTCAAAAAAAAAAAAACAAAATAGCATAAAACCTGGGCCAGCTCAAGATAAAACACTTGCCAAGCAGGGCTGCCTGAAGGAGATTCCAGGAACCCCAGTGGAAGAAGACCAACCCCTAAAAATTGTCCTCTGGTTTCCACACATGCCCAGGAGCACACACACCTATACACATATAATAATAAAAGGAAAAAAAACTTCAGTTACGGAACTGGGCATGGTGATGGCATATGTCTTTACACTCAAGAGGCAAGGGCAGGCAGAAGGCAGATCTCTGAGTTCAAGACCAGTCTAGTCTGCATAAGGAGTTCTGGACAGCTGGGACTACATAGAGGGATTCTGTCTCAAAAAATAAATAAGTAAACAGAAACTTAACCCTGTCTGATAACTGGCAGTTATCTAAATGGAAGATGACAGTGTCAGCCCCACCAGAGCAGAAAGCTAGAATCACAGGATGGATGGAGTTCTAATTGAGTCTTAAAGACCCTGATTCCAAGAAGGCAGGGCAAGGATCCAAGGACACAGGAATTTCATTTCCTTTGTCAAGTAATCAGACGAGCTTGACACCCAGCAGCCCAGACGTTAGGGGTCACCTGAGCTCACTCTCGCCTCCAATCCACTCTGGAGTCTTGAGTTTGGAGTCAAGGTTGTAGTAGGCCCCTCCCACCTCACGAACGCAGATCCAGTGCTGCCTTTTAAGAGGCAACTTGAGGGGACCCCAGCACAGGCTGGAGGGTAGGTTCATGATGAATCCCATGACGTTAGCGAGAGCAATGACACCCACGTCCCTGCAGGAAAGAAAAGGTGTTAAACTCTGGGGCAGTCACTCTCCATGGTTGCCCCCTTCACCTGGGGTTGGTGCCATGGCTGGCCCTTGTCGCCAAATCAAGTTTGGTTCTCTACCTGCGCTTGTCCCACCAAACAGCTTCATAGCCTTTGGTTTGAAGTGCTGCCATGATGACATTCACATCATAGTTCCCATTTCCCAGCATGCTCTTCTTATGGGGCGTCACCATAGTGTTTGGAGACAACCTACAAATGTAAAGGAAAAGCTTAGGCTTGCTGGTCTGCCAGCCTCCCCAGCCTCAGACCACCAGAAAAGCATTTTTGCAGCATTGCCCTGGAAGCTGGTCCCCTTGGCAGAATAATCTCACAAACTAGCTAGTCTGGAGATTGCCTCTCCCTTGCAAAAGCATTCAGGAAGGTTGAGACCTATCTGGCCTTTTAAGAGGCGGGTTACAGCGAGGGAGTGACCACAAGAAATGATCCACAGACCAGGCAGTGGTGGTGCACCTCTTTAATCCCAGCATTCAGGAGGCAGAGGCAGGAAGATCTCTGTGAGTTCGAGGCTAGCCTGGTCTACAAGAGCTAGTTCAGGACAGTCGGGACTGTTACATATAGAAACCCTGCTTCGAAAAACAGAAACAAAAAAGAACTGATGCACAGAGATGCTGGTCTCCTTTACAAATTCCTGTCGGCACAGCCTTCCTACTGCTGCTATTTCTGGTTCATACAAACCTAAAAAAAAAACACTGGCAAAGCTGGGCATGGTGGTGGTGGTGCCACTGGCGACACACCTTTAATTCTGGCACTAAGGAGGCAGAAGCAGGAAGGTCTCTGTGAGTTCAAGTCCAGCCTCATCTACTTAGTGAGTTGTAGGCCAGTTGAAACTACATAGTGAGACCTTCATTATAAAATAAAAAAAAAATAAAATACTAGTAAAAGGTGATATTTAAATGGCAGGCAGTGACTGTTGCTCCTGTCTTTTGCAATTTAAATACTCTATTTAAGACCTGTACTTCAGTAATCATTATTATGGAATATTCAAAGGTCAACAGTAGTTGAGACAGGCAGCATAAATGTACGAAAGGTAATAAACTCTAATGAGGGTTATATTAAACTGGAATATAGAGCCCATTCCAGACAGTGTACCTGCATGTGTGTCCATGCATGTGTGCCTGTGTTTATCCTGAAAAAAATAAAAGCACAAAATCAACTCAGACAAACAAAATAAACTTACAGGCAGTGGTGGGTGATCTCTGGGTTCGAGGCCAGCCTGATCTATAGAGTAAGTTCCAGGACAGCCAAGGCTACACAGAGAAGTCCTGTCTTGGAAACAAACAAACAAACCTTAAACCAGACAAACTCAATTGCAGTTTTGGTGGCCTACCCAGCTTTCACTAAAGTCTCCATACTAGCTCAGGCTGGCCCTAAGATGAGGATACTCCTGCCTCAGCTCCAAAGTGCTAGGATTACAGGTATGCATCACCCCATCTATTTCAAGCCCTTTCCTTTTTATTGCTCCTTTTAGCAATTTCCAACTGAGGCCTGTACTGAAGGCATTTCCAATCCTATCATTTTATTTTCACAGTCTTTTTGTTGTTGTTGCTTGTTTTTTCGAGACAGGGTTTCTCTGTAGCTTTGGAGCCTGTCCTGGAACTAGCTCTTGTAGACCAGGTCGGCCTCAAACTCACAGAGATTCGCCTGCCTCTACCTCCCAGGTGCTGGGACTAAAGGCGTGCACCACCACCGCCTGGTATTTGCACAGTCTTGACAAACCAGGAGATGACGAAGGCCATTTTGACTGGAGGGCCAACATATCTTTTTATTGTAGACGAGGTCTCTCTACATAGCCCTGGCAGTCCAGTAATTCACCGAAATCTGCCTGCCTCTGCCTCCAAAGTGCTGGGATTAAAGGTGTGCACCACCATACTGGGCATCACAGGGATTTAAGGCTGGAGAGTTGGCTTGGTGGTTAAGGGCACTGGCTACTATATGATGGCTCATAACAACCTATCATTCCAGTACCTAATGACCCAATGCCTTTTGGCCTCTGCTGGCACCAGGCACAAATATAGTACCCAAACATCTGTAGGTAAAACACCCTACACATGAAAAAAAAATTTCCTGGCTGATGTTAGTCTTTTCATACAATATATTTATCATATTCTTTTTTATTATTATTATGTGTACATTGTTCTGCCTGTATTTCTGCCTGCAGGCCAGAAGAGGGCACAAGACCTCATTACAGATGGTTGTGAACCCCCATGTGGTTGCTGGGACTTGAACTCAGGACCTCTGGAAGAACAGTCAATGTTCTTAACCTCTGAGCCATCTCTCCAGCCTTTGATTATATTCTCTTCCCTCAACCCCTCTCAGATCCTTCTTACCTCCCTAGCCACAAAATTCATGATTTTTCTCTTAAAAAAAAAAAAAGAAAATCAAAACAAACTGAAGAGATAGGGAAAAAAATCAATTAGACAAAATATAAATATAGTCTGTTTTGTATTGATAACTGCTCCTAGGCATGGGGCCTACCCATGGCTGATATTCCCAGTGAGAACCACTAGAGAAAACTGATATCCATTATGATATGCATTAAAAAATAATGAAAATTAAAGGGAAAAGGGCTCACTTGCTTATCTCCAGACAAAGGCACCAGTTCCACACGCTGTAACCAAATGCCATTTCCTCTTAAGACCATCACTTGCTCAATGCTAGGACTATTGCTTTAGTAAGTGCCTCATTTAATCCCCACACTGGAAGGTATGAATTCATCCTATTTAAGTAAAAAGTCCTGAGGTCCGAGGCTGGAAAGATGGCTCATTGGCTAGAAATGTTTGCTCTCTTGGAGGACCTGGGTGGTTCCCAAGAACCACATTAAGCAGCTCACAGACATCGACCTCCAGCTCCCAGGGATCTGATGCTTCTTGGTTCTGCAGGTCCCTGTACTCATGGCACATACTCACACATACCTACACATGTTTTATGTGCCATTTTCTTTTAATACCTTTTCTTTTTCAAGCCCCAGCCCCAATTACTCAGGCTGGGCACTTAAACAAGAGGCCTCAAAAAGCCAAGGCAAGTCAGCCTAAAATTAGCAGGCTCCCTCCAACAGGACCCACAATCTGGATGCTACTGTTTCCACTTAGAGCCTGACAGTAAGAGCTGGTACAAAATAAAGTAGTTTCAGAAGCTAGCCCCAGAGGGGTTTTCTGCAATAGGGTAATTCTAGCAGGACCAGGCTGTGCAAAGAGTGGTGTTTGTTGGCCTTGTCAAAGAGCTTCTTCCCATAGGCACTCAGACATTGGGTGTCTAGGCAGCAGAAAGCAATCCGAATCAGGGCCATGGCTGTGGGTGGTCCTTTCCCCCTCTTTTAATGTGCCTTTTCTTTTAATTTCTTTTTTTCTTTCTTTCTTTTTCTTTGTTTGTTTGTTTGAGACAGGGTTTCTCTGTAGCTTTAGAGTCTATCCTGGAACTAGCTCTTGTAGACAAGGCTGGCATCGAACTCACAGAGATCCGCCTGCCTCTGCCTCCTGAGTGCTTGGATTAAAGGCGTGAGCCACCACTGCCCAACATTTAATTTCTTTTCTGGCAATTTTTTTAAAAAATTTATTTATCAAGTATACAGTGTTCCGCCTGCATGTAGGTGTTCATGCCTGAAGAGGGCACCAGATCCCATTATAGATGGTTGTGAACCACCATGTGGTTGCCGGGAATTGAACTCAGGACCTTTGGAAGAGCAGCCAGTGCTCTTAACCTCTGAGCCATCTCTCCAGCCCCTTTTCTGGCAATTTTTAAATAATAAAAATAAACATTTTTTTAAAGATTTATTTATTTATTTATACAGTATTCTGCCCGTAGACGAGAAGAGGGCACCAGATTTCATTATAGATGGTTGTGAGCCACCATGTGGTTGCTGGGAATTGAACCCAGGACCTCTGGAAGAGCAGTCAGTGCTCTTAATCACTGAGCCATCTCTCCAGCCCCAAATAAACATTTTTTTAATTCTAAAGTTAGGTAATTTTTTAAAAGAACTTTTTTCTTTTTTTATAAAAGGTTTCAGTGGGTGGTGGTGCACACCTTTAATCCCAGCACTCAGGAGGCAGAGGCAGGTGGATCTCTGAGTTCAAGACCAGCCTGCTTTACACAGCCAGTTCCAGGACAACCAGGACTGTTACACAGAGAAACCCTGTTTTGAACCCTCCAACTGCCCCCCAAAGAAGGTCTCATGTAGCCTCGGTTAGCTTCAAAGTCCCTATGTAGCTGAGGATAACTTCAAACTCCTGATCCTCCTTCCTGCCTCCAACTCCTATGTGCTGGGAATGCTAGGCTTGTGCCATTCCACCACATGAAGTCAGGTGATTTAACTGACTTGTCATGAACACTAACAGCTGGCAGAACTAAGCTCAAACCTGCGTTCATGAGAATCCAGTTATGTGGCTTACAGTGGAGACCCAAGAGTCAGGGTGGGATGGGAGGTGGTATCAGGTTGCTGAGCCAAATGTCTGTTGAGTCCTGAGTCCCCAGGCTGAAACATGGAGCACTAGGACCCAGGCTCCCTCTCTCCTGGCAGTGGAGAAAGTAGATAGGAGACCACACTTGGGCGGTAGCAGATCCTTTCCCTCTACCCACTCTTCAGAAACCTATTGTGTGGCTTCAATCTTTCCTGGAGAGTCTCTGACCAATACAAGGAAGATGACATCACCAGAAATAAGGCTAAGACTTCTACCTCCCTGCGTGCTCACGCCCAGGGCAGTGCTCTCCTCAGTCTCCCAATTCCATGCTCACTATTGGAGATATTGAGAGGCAGCTAATATTTCAATACAGTAACAACAGGATGAGCCAGCAAGTAAAGCAGCTTCCTACGGGAACTCCACAAGTTCCTAGCATAGAGAAGGTTACACACTGTGCTTCAGCCCTCAACACCAACGGCTACACAGACATCGTTCTGAAGGCTGCTTTTCAGGACTGCTGTCCCAAGATCCCTTGACCTGCTCTCATCTCTTTAAAAATCATGTTAAGATTCAGACCCTCTCCTGCCTGTTCCCACTTTTCCTAACCGGAGGCCCCTAGTCTCACACTGAGCTTTTGAAAGCTCCCAGACTCTTCTCCTAGCCTGCAAGCTCCTTCCAACAGGTCAGCACAGATCTTTCTCTACACTCACCAAGGCCTCACTTCACCCTCTTCTCCAGCCTAGTGCCTGGCTAGCCAACTCTGGGTCCCACTCTACTCAATCCGCTGTTGTCCTCTTCAGGGAGCTTGGTTTACTTCAGGCATCAAAACTATGTGGCCTTTAGTGGTTTATCCTACTTCTGACTACAGGCCAAATCCCACTGATTCTTCAGGCTCAACCTCGTATCCTCTCTTTCACAGAATCCTTCCTGACTCTGAAAATGGAGGGAGACACAGAGGACCACACATAATCCAAATTTATCCGAACACCATCAATACTAATTTATTGAAGAATTCATTCATGCATTCAAACAGTGAGTCCTGGGAACTCTGTTAATGCTATGTCTTAGCCTGGCATTGGCATCTAATAAACATGCCCAAACTGATCACTATAGGGAGCAGTGACACAGGACTGTTATCTAGCTGGCACTTGCACTTGGGAGGTGGAGGGCCGAGGATCAGAAGCTCAGAGTCATTTTTCTATATATAACGAGCTCCAGACCAGTCTGATCTCCTTTCAAAAACAAACCCAAACCGAGCAATATAGGAAATGCTAACAACAATTTCCATTCTATTCTACAGGGATGGTCACCCCTAATTCTCCCCATGCCCCCACAAAAGTCCTTTCTTTTTCTTTTAAGGATAATTGACTGGGTTAACTGCTTCATAGGCTTTATCATTTAATCCTTCTACAATCTTTCTGTAAATAAGGAAGCTGAGGTGCAAAGGTTACAGTGACTTGCACAGTCACGCACAGGTGCCAGGTAAGTGGCACAGCGAGGACCTAGCCTCTAAGGCAGCACTGAACTGCCCACGGTTACTTCCCCGCAACAGTCCATCAGCACACCACCAGAGCCTCTGGGTACAGTGCCTGCTGCCCAGGACTGCCTTGCTGATTTCGACAGAAACCCTGGGGCTTACAGCAAGCCTCTGGTGTCTGCTACTGCAGCCAGAATTAGGTAAGATTTGAAAAGCTCAGTGCTGTCCTCAGTCCCCTCCAAAGTCACTACTCTGCCTGCTGTGGTGGTGATTTTGGATTTTAATGAAGAGAGAGAAGCAGGGATGGAGGGAAAGATTTAATCAACTTTTTTCTCCCTTAATTCTTTCTTTCATCAGAATTTCCTGGATATTTTTCTAAATGCAACACGGCTCGTAGAGCAGGGACATGTCAGCTATTCCCCTCATGAGTTTGGATGAGCTCCTCTAATCCCTAGAGGTTAATACTCAGCCTCTTAGCCAGGCAGTGGTAGCACATGCCTTTAATCCCAGAACTCAGGAGGCAGAGGCAGGCGGATCTCTTAGTTTGAGACCAGCCTGGTATATACAGTAAATTCTATGATAGCTAGGACTACACAGAAACCCTGTCTCAAAAATCAAAACAAACAAACAAACAAAAAAACCTCAGCACTTTTCTTAGTTTCTCACCTTCTCAAACTTTTCAATGTGGCTCCTCCCATCTCTCATGATGAATGACCAGTAGAGAAACCGGAGAGCTTACCCTTAGTGACATTCACCAGCACGCCTAACCTGGTTCCTCCTTCAACAGAATGTTTCCCCGTCACCAGGCTAGTTTCTGTCTAGTCAGATTTTAATAGCTAGTCTATTTAGGGGGAGGCATGCATAGCTTGCTGCAAGAACTTCTGGTCACTAAAATAATGGGAAAAGGCCAGACAAAATGTTTCAGGCCTATGTATTTCCAAAGTGGCCAGGCCAAAAAAGGAGCCCTTTGCTACCAGAGGGCCTGAAGAGATGGCTCAGTGGCTAAGAACACTAGTTGTTCTTCCAAAGACCCAGGTTTGGTTTCCAGTAGGCACATGGCTGCTGACAACCATCTGTGATTTCAGTTCTAGAGAATCCAACACATGTATGTGATGCAAAGACATTCATACAGGCAAAACCCCCATACACATGAAACACAGTAAATAAGATAAAATAAATGCTACCACAAGCTAATGTGTACAGCAGCAGAACACTTGCAGAACAGCAAAACACTTGTATGCATAAGGTCATGAGGTCAGTGCTATTCTGTGAGCTCACCTCTCAGCTCTCAGCCCTTCTTTTTTAAAGTTTATGTACAGATATGGTGAAGCACATGAGGTGAGGCGACATGAGCCCGCTGCCTGAGGAGCTTCTCCGGGTCAAGCCCCTTCCACCTGACCCTCCCTCGTTGCTAATCAGCATTAGCTCCATTCTAAATTCTTACTCATTTCTATTCCGAGCATGAGTCATCCCATCTCCACAACTCTATTAAAACTCCATCCTGCTTTTGTGTTTCCCCCTTTAACTGGCTAAAACTCAACTGCTATGATGAACTCCCTCGCAGCAAACAGTTCTTACCAACACTTTCCTCCCTTTGCTGCCACTCAGGAGTCTCATTTGTACACCAGCATGGATTAACCTTGCCAGCTTTCTTCCCTTTCAGTATCAGTTTCTTTTCTTTTTTAAGATTGTGTGTGTGTGTGTGTGTGTGTGTGTGTGTGTGTGTGTACACACGCATTGGTGTTTTTGCTTGCATGCATGTTTGTATGAGGGTGCCAGAGCCTCTGTAACTGGAGTAACAGACAACTGTTAACTGCCATGTGGGTGCTGGGAACTGAACTCGGGATTCTCTGGAAGAGCAGTCAGTGCTCTTAACCACAGAGCCATCTCTCCAGCCCCATAAACGCAAGTTTCTAAAGAGACCAACTGTTCATTTCTAAACTGCTCCACTGTCCTGTCCATGGCTCTCTCTACGCCTCAGTCTCTTAGACCTGCCCCACGGACAGCCCTGAGGTGCCTCCCAGTACCTGGCACACTGCGAGTGGTTAGTCTTCCCTCTCTTGCCTTCTTCCTTTACAGTTTCTTCTGGATTCCTCCCGTACATGGGGGCGGGGGAAGGGGGCGAAGTCCCGACTTATCCACACACATAAAACCGCTCTATTATAGAATTCCTTTTCTAGAATTCTCTTGCTGGTCAGCCTGCACTGTGCTGATCAGGAACACAGAAATACCACAGTTTGCAAATGCTTCAAAAGGAACAGGGCCCTGTGGGTGCTAGCAGATATTCAGCACCTCTCACTCTGGGAGAGCTCATCTGAAAGACGCCCAGTGTTATCCACAAACACTTGATGATACAGCCCAGACCCCCAGTCCAGCCTGCTTACTAGCTGGAAAGGAGGCTACTGAAGTTCCTGCTTCTTTAATGAGCTTTTCAAGTCTGCAGCAAGCAGCCAGGAGGAGCACGCTGGAGGTGGACCCTGGAGCTATAAAGCTTGGGCTGAAATCTGACCATTAGCAACTACCAACTCCATGTCCTGATTTCTTCTTCTGGAATAAGGGGAAACCACAGAGCCTACCTCCTAAACTGGGTGCGAGGACTCAGCTGCCTGTGCAAAGAAGGCCCTCAAAACGGGGCAGTGTTGGTTTGTTAGTGGTCTCAAGATAATTAACTCCTGTCAGACCAGGAGCCAAACCCACAGAGGTCAAAATCTGTCAACTTGAGTAGAACTAACTAACTAGTAATAATCTGACATTTATTTCCTAGTGGGTAAAACTAGGCAAACTGCATCCACTCAGTCCTGGTTCCCGGCACTGCTAAGGTGGCTCGGGGGTTGTCAATCTAGACAGAGCACCAAGCACACTCAGGTACGCACGCATGGTGAGTCATTTCCTTCTCCCTGGCGACAGATTAGGAAACAATCCAGAGCTGCCCAGAAGGAGGCAGTTCAGAAATCTGGGTCCTCCTTTCTGTCACATGACTGGGTGGTAGAAGACACATTCTCTTCCTCCTTGAGCTTTATTTCCTGAGGCCTGAACTGTACTGGCAGATACAGTGGCAGATTCAGTGGTCCTGAACCAAAAGGCACATCTGCCCTGCTAAGGCAAGGGCGTTACTCTGGTCTTTACCGGCACTGGGAAATAATGACTCTTAAGAACACTCAGGTTTGCTCTTTTCAGAGACCTACGGTTCCTTCAGGAGAAGTGGTCCATCCACACCTACGCTTTACAGGTCACCCCAAACAGGCTGATTCTAGCTCTAATTCCTGTGCTGCGGCTATTTCATCTCCAAATGAGGAGTATCAAAAAGGTCACCTGGAGTCTCAAAGGATCCTTGAGCTTTCTCTGCCCTGAGGTCTGGAGGGATAAGGCAGACTCGCCATTAAAGCCGCTATGGACTGCAGCCATGCTGCTGGGTCCAGCAAGACACCACAACTCTCAAGGCTGTTGGTAAAGACTTTTCAAAAGCCCAAGCAACGAGCATAAAACTGAACTCTGACCACTTGTGGAGTGACATATTTGCTCTAAGGGGTCCGAACAGCAATCATTTTTCTTTCGGGGAGACAGTGCTGGGGAACACACCTGGGAACTCCTGCAGACTCCATCACTGAGTTTCTCACCAGCCCCAAGGAAGAGGTGAGATCTGGAGTCAGCTCCTCTCACAGCTCTGCTCAGGAGCCGCTCTGGACAAATCACTTGTCCTTTCTGCCCATTTCTCTATCAGTAAAATGACGGTGAGGAGAGTCATACAAAACAATATATGAAGAGCACCCTGGCCAGCACATGGCCTCAGAAAAGCTAAGCATTGTGGGTAGACTTTTCTTGCGGTGCCCATCATGTCCCACCTTTGGTGACAGTTGACCGTGGATGCATCTTGTATCCCTTCTAGACTATAAATTCCTTGGTGGCAGGGTCTGGAAGGGAGGCATTATAGCAGTGACTACCAGCAGAGATAGGGACCTGAACTCAACCCTGCGTCCATGGCTTGTCAGATTATTTGGAGGAAATTAAGGAGCTCTGCATAGCTCTGTCTTCATTTCAAAATGGGAATAACACAGGCAACATGGAGTTCCCTGATTGACCAGAACTGTGGTAACCGCACAACTGAGGCTACTCCACAACAGACAGACCAGAGATGATTACCAACCATTCCTGTGCTCCTTAGAGCGGCCGACGGCATCTAATTCCAAACCCGTAGGTTTGAAGGTTTATGTCCCTGAGGCATCGCACCACCCACACAAATTCAGAAATATCAAGAAGTGGAGATCACGATGCCAAGCGGGGTGGGGGGGCTTACCTCTGAAAAATCTCCTGCAGCGTTTCCCGCGTGAAGGCGTTGCTGTCCTGGAAGACGTTGTTGAGGGCGTGAAGGGCACAGAGTTCTCTGCGCTGTTTCTCATGGTAGATTTGTGGGGGTGCTGCCTGGGGAAGCTCCGGGGATTCAGCTTTGGCCTTGTCTCCTTTCCATGGCATGCAACTCATGTTTTTCGATTTAGGTTCCAGACAGAGCTGATAAACACCCCACTCCTCCCCCCCCCCCCCCGATTCAGAAGGTCTAGGTCTAGGCTTCTGTCTTCAGATTCCTGAGGTTCACCTTATTCTCTGGTGTCCATGATTTATGCTTTGTCACTGGGAGAAAAGGTTGAAATCAAAAGGGACAAAAAAAAAAAATCCACCTCTTCTGTCTTCTCGATAGAAAAAAATAACTTTTGGATTAGTTTATTTAGCCACCACTTTCAAAGCGCAGAATTTAAAAAAGAACATATAAAACTAAGATTCCTCCCTTTCACTACCCTACCCTCCCACCCCCTTTCGGGGGGGAAAAAAAAAACCACGCTTTCCTGGCTGTATTTTCCTCTCTGCAGATGCCAACTAGGCCTCAATGCAGGAGGGCAAAGCCGAATGGGTCACATCGCTCTTTTTCTTCCATTTCGTCCGAATCTCAACGCCACAGATTCCTTAGACTCGGTTGGATGGTGAAGAAAACGCCCGATGCCAACAGCTAGCGAGGGCCGGCGGGCTTGGGGTCGCGGGCCGCGCGGGGACTTCGGGGGCAGTTGTTCATGCCCGCCGGTAGGCTGGCGGACTCGGCCCAACGGAGGAGACGCTTCGTCTCAGCGCGGGCGGAGCCGCGGGAGGGCTGGGGA